GCTCGTGGGAACTGTCCATGCGGTCGGAGCTAAGTTTTACAAGACCCGCAGAACAAAAAAAAAATACCGATCACACTCATCTCATGGTTATTAGACGTGAAATGAAGCTGCAGTCAACATCAGATTTGACAGCATATAGGCAACTGAACGGACAGATCTCCAAATGCATGCGTCGGGACTTACGCAACTTTAATACTACTCGTATTGAAGAAGCGATCGAGCGGAACCAGGACTTCAAAGTCTTTGCCAGAGATTTTGTCTGCCAGAAAGAGCCAACTGCCAAAGCAGAAGACTGAGTGTGGCAGCATGGTTTCCGGGACACCTGAAATTTTGAGATAGATTGAGAGGTTCTGTGGGCAGCTGCACACATCATCGTTAGGGCCACACGCAAGTGTGAGCAACGATCCAAGAGCAAGTCTTATCTGACACTACTCCTATGATATTTCGGACATCAGACTGAGCAAGATTAGAATGGCTCTGCAACACCTTAAAAACGGTAAGGCGAGGATGGAATTACAGCGGAGTTTCTGAAAGCGGGTGGAAAACCGCTACTTAAAATCCTCCAGGAGCTCTTCAATTCCGTCCTACTCCGCACTACTCCGAAGGCGTGGAGCAGAAGTGTGGTAGTCTTGTTCTTCAAGAAAGGCGACCACGCTCTTTTGAAGAACTACAAACCGATTACTCTTCTGAGCCGCGTTTACGTGCTGTTTTTGAGAGTCCTTACGAATCGTCTCGCACCCAGACTCAACGACTTTCAGCCTCCCGAAAAAGCCGGTTTCCGAAAAAGCTTTGACGCCTTAGACTACATACATACCCTTCGGCAAATTGTACATGGGACCGAATTATAGTCTTCCACTTCACATTGCGTATATGGACTATGAGAAAGCCTTGGATTCCATCGAAATTTGGGAGGCGCGATAGTCCCTTCAGCGGTGCCAAGTTGACTGTCGGTATATCGAAGTGCTGAAGTGTTTGTACAGTAGGGCTACGATGGCTATCCGAGTATAGAACCAGAGTACAAAACCTATCCAACTATAGAGAGGTGTAAGATAGAGTGACGTTATATCATTCACAAATCACTATTATAAATTAATGATTTGTGAATGATTTAATTATATTCTAATGTCCATGTTCCTTACAGCTGCCGCTTTGTTATATGAATTATTTTTATTGTATCAGATATATATTGTTTTTTGTGACATATAAGCTATTTTAACTTTACTGTCTTATATTTATAGTACTGTGTCACCTATAAGGGTGCACACAACAGTCCCTAGTTTGAGCCTACTTTCAATAAAAATTTAATAATGTGTGCACTGCCGGTGTCCTATAAATAAATAAATCCCTGAAACTCTTTACCGCTGCACTGGAAGATGTTTTCAAGCTACTTAGCCGAAAAGGATACGGTATTAACATCAATGGCGAGTACATCACTCACCTTCGATTGGCCTACTATTTAGTCCATATAGCAGAATCGCTAGATGACCTAAGCACTATGCTTAATGACCTCAATAGTGCCTCCCAACGGATAGGTCTTAAAATGAACATGGACAAAACAAAGATCATGTTTAATGTCCATGTCACACCTATACCTACCGGTAGTTGTTGGGAACACTAAGCTCGAAGTTGTTGACGAGTACATTTACCTGGGACAAATACTTCGACTAGGTAAGTTCTACTTCGACCGAGAGGTCAATCGACGGATTCAACTCGGCTGGGCAGCGTTCGGGAAATTACGACACATCTTCTCGTCAGGTATACCTCACAACCTGAAAACTAGATTCTACAACCAGTACGTGTTGCCAGCGATGACTTACAGATATGAGACGTAGTCCTTCACTGATGACCGTATGAGGAAGCTCAAGGTCACACAACAAGCAGCTATTTAGAGAAATATGTTCGGGGTTTCTCTGCGTGATAACTTAGAAATGAGGATACCCGTAGTGGAACCAGAGCCTAACAGATTAGTAAGCTGAAGTGGCAATGGGTCGGCTATAAAGTTCTAAGAACCATCAACCGATGGGGAAAAAAGGTTCTCGCGTGGCAGCTTCGTACCGGTAGGCGTAGTGTAGGGCGACCCCCCATAAGATGGAGTGACGACCTGGTAAGAAATGCAGGAGGTCGATGGAAGCAGGTGGCTCAGGACCGTGCTTTGTGGCATTCCTTGGGGGAGGCCTATGTTCAGCAGTGAAGTTGTGAAGGGCAGTAATGATGATGATGATGAAATATCTCTAAAAAAATTTAAAAAAAAATCGAGGCATATTCTATGGCGAGATCTCCTCGCCTCATAGAAATTTCGAAGTCACAATAGAATTGGTATGGTGCATATATACAACGTTCATATTAATGAAGTTATATATAATACCTATTATATTAAAATTCGCAAAAATCTAGCATAATTACAGGCATGTATATTTTAAAATATTCTTCTCATATTTACTTATTCATAATTTTTAATATATTTGTTTTCTTATTATTTTAATTTCATACATTTAATTCTTTTATAGTTGGCTAAATCTTAAGTCGAATTTCAATTAAGCCGAAAATTTTATTATTTCATTACATATTATATAAGTTTACAGAACAAATAATAATAACGAGACCATAAGTCGTTATCAGTACCATAACAACAGATAGATCAAAATACAAATTGTAATTCCAGCCGCGTAAGCAATTTGTGTGACACTTTTGTTTTAAAGTCCAAAGTACGTAAGTATATGGAAACGTTTGAGACTACATCGAGCTATGATGAGCCTTTCTTGCCAATCGCTACAACCACTATCGAATAGAGGGAACCCACTCTACAAAACATCTCATTAACGGTGGAGTCCCTCAGAATTCTGTCTTCTCCACACTCCTTTTTACTCTCTTCACGAGTGAAATTACTAAAGACCCAGTAGTTAATAGGTTAATCCTGCTCTTTCGCTGATGACACGGCACTTTTCGTAGCCTATCATAACAAATCCTCCATCCGCTAGTTACCAGCAAGAGCAAACTGTCCCTAAAACACAAGCTCCATCTTTACATAGTTTGATTAAGACCTTTCATGTCTTACGGAAGCGTTTTTTTTGCTCACGCTGTACATCGAAATTTGTACGACCTCCAGGTCGTCCCAAATAGATTTATTCGCATAGCCATCGGAGCTCGGTGGTACCAGCGAAACTAACTTGCACAGAGACCTGTCAACTTATAAGGATCTATGAATATTTCAAATAAATGACTCAGCGCTATTTTGAGAACACAAAAAAACACATCCCAAGCCGCTAGTGGTAAACACAGGCACCTACGCTCCGACTCCGAATGTTACAGGGAGTCTCCGTCCTAATCGAACTCCCAGTTCCACTAGATTCTGACAACCCAAATGTCGCCGGCTCACATACGCCTGCACATTCACCTAGTGCTACAAATATTGTTAGGACAACGGATGGAGTCCGCAGACGGGCGTGCCGCACATCCCTCCACACCGCCTACACACCGTACACCCGCGTCCCTGGGCAGTTCTCACTACTCAGAAGAACATCGAATGAAACGAGTTAGCCGTCAGAGCTGGGGTCCGCGACCCTTGTTCCGAAGGAGGTTAGAATTCTCAACAATGTCAAGACGTGACACAACTACAAAAGATTATTCCTTTTAGTGCAACAATATATTCATAACGTTGTAAAATAAATAATCTCCACCCACTTTTTAGACCGGTAAATTTCTAAGAGCCAAAAGGCTAACAGCGTGAACACAACTGAAACTAGACTACCATAGCTTTATTTTTTCCTATGCAGGATAGTCAGGGTAGATCTTTTTTACTTATGTACTACTTTCGCTTATTTTTTAGTTAGTAGTTGTTGTAGGCCTCATTCAAAGTATTGGTACATTCATATGACCTCATACAGTTTAATTCGTAGTACTCTTGATTTACGCGGGCGACCCTTAAGATAATTTAAGACTGTGATAGTTTACGGAAAGTGCACTGCCGGGAATATATAGATAGATAGTCCAATGCAGACCATCAGTCTACCGATAAGTCTGATTGGAAAATAATTCCTTCAGTTACCATCGTCCTATTTAGGTCCATTTTAGTCCTTATAACGGTCAAACCGCGAACTTTCTTAATATGCTCATTATCAAGAAAGCCCATGTTCCATACTTGCCCGTCACAATGTCGGGCAACTACGGAACTCTTAACTCTCATTGTGCGTGGCCCGACACACTCCTAATGAATATGTTTATCTTAATTGGGATATGAATTAATAAAATAATCACTGATAAGCTGTGAGAAGTACAGTTAATACATATTTTTTATCAAAGTGATTTATGAAACAAAATGATTCATATTCATATTTTTTTAGTCCCAAGAGAATATTAAAAATCTGACCGACAGACGACAGGACGACAGAAAACTTAAAATTATGGAGTGATTAATTTTGCAGAAAAACTTTCGCTCGAATGATATGTATTCGAAAAATGATTCTGAGTCACCTGAATCTACTCACTGTATATTTCAACTCATTTAGTTGTGGAGGGGGAGGGGGTTGTCGTAGGGTTGTCGTCCAACCTTGCGCTTGTCAATACGAGTACAAGGCTATCCCTCCGTTACAGCCTACATTAAAAATAATTAATATCGTAGTAATGAATTATGTACATATCGTAATGTTTTGTATTAAATAACAAAACGCTCAATTAAAACTACTAAATTAGTATCAGAAAATAAGTTTCAATGTTGTTTGTAAAGGATGTCTTTCGTCAAAAAGCCAGTCTTTTGTTTACTGATTTAGAAGTCACACTAAGGTTAGACAATTTGGAACACGAGTAAGTATTTTAGTTTGGATTATATATTCTTTTGTTTAGCTGAAATCTATTCAGCAAGGCCTTGGCAACATCTTTCGGAGCGTTGATTCTTTTAAACATTTGTGACTATTTCTATACAGTCTCTCTGAATATATAAGGAGAACATTGTCATTATCGTCATTACAACGTGTGATACTTATAACAGAGTTAAAGTTTGCAAAATGCTGAAAATGTTGATGGTAAGAGTACAATTTTTATATGTTTCAACACCAACGAATTACTTTATCATAAATTTGTACGGAAAAGGCAACTAAATCAATTTCTATAGTGCGTAAGTGACCTAAGTAAGTGATTTTAAGTGTTGATTAAAATAGTATGAATGTGAACTAGTGTCAGTTCCTAGATTATTTTGACAACCCAAAGATTTAGTTAACATTGCATAAGAAATAGTTTCTGGGTCCTTATTAAAGGCGGGGTAAGGTATGATTTAATACAACAATGTAGGTAACATTCGGTAAATGTAATTAAATATTTTCTATTGCGTTTACATTTTAGGAACAATATATTTAATTATCTAGTAACAACCCGGCTGATGAAGATGATAACATTCATTAAGTTGAGTTATGAAAGTTTTGCAATTCCATTTTACAGCGATTTTTAATTCGCAAAATCATCAACTACTTCGTCTTATGAAATCTTGTTCATTAGCTGTCTCTATGCACAAAAGCGCTAAAGCGTTCAGCTTTTTTTGGCTTATTGTAGATCTTAGGTAATTTTTTATCTATTTTAAGCAAGAAACGCTCTGACCCAAACAATAGCTGCTGGTAAAGCCATGCGAACTAATAATCAAAGTTTAGATAAACGTTTTGCATATTCTCTTTTCGCATGAACGAAGATAGACTTTTCAATGACCCAGAATCAGGTTTCACTAAAATTCTTTCAGAAAAGTCTTACTGAAACCCGTTTTTAAATTATCAGAATACATTTCTTCTAAGTTTCTTTTTCCGCTAGAGTCGAAAATATTTCTTTAGCTTTCTTGTTAAAATATAAATCTCTTTAATTTATGTAAGACATACCAAAAAATTATCCTCAAAGTCGCACCAAAAATCTGCCGCCCTAGGATCCAGCCTACTGGTTAGCCTGATGGTAAATCCACCACTATATTTTACGATAGTATTCCGTGAGAGCGTGGTCCATCCCCGGTCAACTTAGAATGGTTTAATTTTAATCGGTCCATCCTTCCCCTCCACCGAATTAAAAACGGGCAGTCCGAAGCACTAGCTTTTCTGACCCTTACGGTGGATACGCTTTATGGGCCTAGCGCCGCACCAACCACGGCTCAGCCACGATGTTTAGGGAGAGCAGTGTATCGTAATACCGCCTTATCCGACAGGCCCCAGCACTATTACGTCAACAGCGCGGTCTCTCGCGATCGCGACTCTACGCCACCTGCAGCGTAGGAGAAAAAGAGTCCCTCCCGTCGCAGAACACATCTGAAGTGGTCTCGCCAAGTTTGGTGTAGCCACCTACTGGTGGGTATCTACACCATGGCTACTGAATACCTCCCACCCTTCAATGACGAAGCGGTAAAATGTTGGAGAGGAGATGGTGGACCCCTGTCACTAACTCTTTCAGACTTTTACTTTCCTCTGCTGTGGGACCATAATGTTTATACGAGTATAATGTAATATTTACCTGTCACTTTACTCCTGCAATTTATATTGTACTCTGTTAATAAAATTAAACAATAAAGACCTACCTCTCTGCTTCGGGTTCGGGTGTGCAAAGCATTTAACAATTTAAGTTTAAAGGATTTAAGTAAAGTAAAAATTTTACAATTACGTTTTATTAAAAAGTTTCATTTTTATTGATGAGTTTTTATTATATAGTGAAAAAAAGATCATCAAACCGTACTGATATAATTTAATCCCGAAGTTTCTAAACGTTTTTGTTGATTTTTAAGTAGAACATTTTATGGAGTCAACGTCGTTATCTTACAAAATTTTATAAATTTAATAGGTTAATTTTTACTCGCTTAAATAGGAAGGCAATGACTTTTAGACAGTTGTGTAAGATACTATTAAAATTTTTGGATTTGCCAAGAATTTTGTTATTTAGTTATGTCATATATTGCATAAATATTGCAGTCACTCGTCGCTAAGTACGTAAACTTTCTTAAATTAGGTGCAGGTGGTTTGAAGATAGGGGACGATAGGACAAGTTGGCATGATGGCGCTTGTAACATTTATTTTGTACAATATTTAATAACAATTATGATATCGTAAATAATCGTTTCATTCCTTTACTGCTGGCCGTATGAGGAAGCTTATAATTGCTCAGCGAGCTATGAAAAAGGCTATGCTAAAGGCTCGAGGTTTCTTTGCGTGATATATTTAGAAATAAATTTTATCCACAGTAGAACCCAAGTAACCGAAATAGACCAACGGATTAGTAGGCTGAAGAATCGATAACCAATGAGGAAGCAAGGTTCTCGAGTGGCAGCCTCGTATCGGTAGGCGAAGTGTGGGGCGGCCCCCCCACTAGATAGAGTGAGAACCTCTACGACATGCAGGAAGTCAATGGATGCAGGTGGCACAGAACCGCGTACTTTGTGGCATTCTTAGGGGGAGGCCTACTTTCAGCAGCGGACTTGTGAAAGGCTGTAATGATGACGATGATGAATTAATAGTTTTGTAAGTTGTACCGTGATACACCCACGTAACAAAATGGGGTGATGGTTTCTCATACACCCACCGCTTACACGCTACATTATTTTTACTGATTCCAATTAAACAAGAAATAATTTTATTTCATAAAATATCATGCAATTATATAATTATATATTATAAACATTCAATGTACAAATATATTAAAAAAGCAACCCTCTGTTACGAAAATATAGTCTCACAAATGTAAGCAAAAAACCTGCAAATCCTTTTGTCTTGCAGGTGTTCCTAGACGTTGGTGATAACTTACCAATTTTTTTTTGTTTAGAACAAGGGTAACAAATTGGGACACAGTCTGCCTAATGGTAAGTGGATGCTGAGGCCCATAGAATTCTACATTTATCCTTAATTAAGAATCAGAATGCAGATGCCTTGTCATCCTTGAGGACTAAGATGGAATGACTCTTTTCCAGTGAAAAGTTCTCTATACTCAACGTACGAAACACGGCAGTTTTAAACTGATATTTTATGTTGGTATTCTGTGAGTGCTTGGCCCTTCCCCGGTCCAACCGACCCATTAGTGCTAAAATCATAATATAGCTGTAGCGTAGCCCTACCATGTTTATGAAACCATGTGAGCCATAGGACGTATGATTGCGCTCCTTTATAAAATGTAAAAAACTTAGAAAACCTTGTTTAAATAAACCAATTTGTCGGATTTTATCTCGTTTTATCTAAACAACTACTTGTTTAAAGCGTCCTTTCAATGACCATAGGTGTAGTAAAGCACCCGAAACGTCGCAAATTAAAAATAAGTAAAATTAAACGCCATAAAATCTTTAAAATTTGTTTTATATTTTATTAAATGTATATATAATAAAATATACTTTTATAGTATTTGTGTAAATATAAAAAAATCATTACAAAAACCCTCACACTCATTTGAACCTATCTGTGTTCGATTTAACATTTAGGAGTATATGTATGATATAAGTGAAGTACTCGTGTGAAAAGGTCGGAGGTAGATCAAGAAGCAACAGAAACAGAAAAAGTAGCTCTGATTCTCAACTATTCATGTTTTTGTATAAGAGTTAATCCGGATGGAATTTAAACCTAGGACCGCTAGCATAGCAGCCAGATATTTATAAAGCACGAGTCACATAGCTGTTATTAAGTTACGATATGTTTGATGTTAACGTAACATCTACCTAATCTTAAAAGGTGAAGACGCAGGCCTCGATATCAGGGTTTTAAGTAGAAAAAGGTTTTAAAGAAAGATAAATATAAATTTGTTAATAAAACATTACAATATCGTATTTACAGTGATGTACCTATATTTATCTACACCAATACATACGGTATTTCGATATTTGTACAAATTCCGCACAGTTGTTAAAATAATCTAGTCATAATAATCCACTGTAGTTCTTAATTCAATTTACGAAGGTACACTTTCTTTTTTTATAGATTACTATGTTGGCGATGGTCGCGGCTACAGGTTCCGAACCCCTAGTCTTTAGCTCCAGCTTTGTTACGTCTCCAATTACTTCTGCTGCCCTAGTAGCCCCTGCTGTCTCTCAAGTTGCACCAGTAGCTCCAGCTGTAACTACGTCATATGCTACTTTTCCGTTTGCCTCTGTATCAGATTATAGATATTCATATGGCTCATCATTAAATTTGCAAGACTATTTAGGATTTGCCACGGTGCCGTTACCGTATAGTTTACCATACACATTAACCGATTTATACTATCGTTAAAATCTTAAAATAATTTTTCGCCAAATCATTTTGTTGTATCTTTCTGACTGCGCAAATAGATTTCTGCTGTTTTTGTTAATTCACTTGTTGTTTGACAAATAAATGTATCAGATGAAAAATATTTGTGTAATTATTTTTACCATAAAATAATAAGAAAATGAAAAAAAATGTCAAAGGGTTTTGAACCTATGACGTGTTGGTGCATTTTAAATTTCCTAGAAAATATTCATTATTCAGAGGTGCAGGTTTCCTCACAATGTTTTAGCTTCGACACCAAGTGATTGGTAATATATTATGTTGCAAAAAAGTTGCAAATGAACACCTTTCGGACCTATTACAATGTATATTTTTTTAATAGGTCCGAAGGTTGAGCAGGGAACCCTATAGATAATATAATATATAGGACAGGGAACACGTTGAAGTATTACTACTACGTATAGAGCAGAAAACGCCTTGCATGATTTTGCGCCACGCTTTGCGGTACACTGTACCGCAACTGTTTAGTGAGTGTCCATCGCCCACACAGACGACTCGTGTTCGGTTCGCATAAATAACAATTTCAAAATGCTTGGTTGTGTTCTTAAAGACTGCGGTAAACACTCCAGAACATTAAAAAAAAGTGATGGTTTAAAATTTAATCGGCAAGTAGACATTAAAACGCTTAAAACTCTTTGCTTTAAAGTTTTTCGCGTTGTTACAATGCTCACGAGAATCGGGCAAAATGTAAAATCTATGGGAGCGACTTGTACACTACGTTGAACGATACGCGTAAGTGCCATTATATTCCTGGGACTTATGACGTTTTGGTCGCGAGAAAACAAAGCGCAATAACCAAATTGTCGTATTTATGTATGTTTCCTAGAGTAGACGTGCCTGGAAATATCGATCCTTCTATTCTATCGACTAAGCTCAAGCGCTATCGTCATTAGCACGTAATAAATGCAAAATAATGTTTTTTTCTGCAGTTTGTCGCTAACTTGCTAATTTTATTAGTAAATACTTAGAGTTCGGAAGAAAATAAATAAGCAACAACGAACAATAAACTTAATTCAAAGGAGACTGATACGCTTTCATACATTCTTGGGCTCAGATTGTTAAAAGATGAAAGTAGTGCCAATTAATAGCTTATCAGAACATCACTGAATATCTACGGATATTGGCAATCTGAGAGCAGAGTAATAAGAGATTTGGTAAAAGGTTATGCGACATGTTGGCAACAACTTATATTAAACAATTGCATTTTGAAGTGCGATGGCTATTTTGTATTTTCGACAGTTGTTTAATTTATTTGTATTATATTGAGTAGGAGGAGGTAAGGAGGTAATGTTTAAAATTAAAACAAAAAAACAAAAAAAAAACACTAATAATAAATACAAAATCTACAATAACGAGCCAAAGTCAAACGATTACTCATTATACTGGACACCGATAATCTTGTGTAAACGAGCACGGTAGACGAGAACGATAGTTAGGGTCGTAGAATTTAAGTAAGTTCAGAATTATGTAGATAGAAAGCAGTGATCGAGGAATATAAGTCAACAAAATAACGGGTAACACACTTAAAACGCATACGTACGCATTCCTACTAAACGATACAAGACGAGTGATTATAGATAAGAATGAGTCAAATAAGAGCTGTCACTATCAGTACAGATTAAAAATACAGTTAACAAGTAAACGAGAATCGATTTTTAAATTTATTATGTTGCTATTTTTTTACTATTACTTATAATGTATATAATGTAATAATGTTACTATGTTAATAATATATTGTAATGTATATAATTACTTTAATTGAATCAATCATCTGGTATAAGTATATAGGGAGGGAGGCTGGGTACTGCCACCTACTTGGGAACCTGTTTTTCAATAAATTTAAACTGAACCAAAGCATACCACTGCATGACTTCACGACACAGTAAGTTCATTCTGCGTAGATCGGATCATAAGTAATAATTGAAAAGCTAAAGGCACTCCAGGTTAACACTGACATTAGGATGTCAAGCCCCGTGATCATGGGTGCTGAAAAGCACCCGAAACTTGGGGAACTAATTTCGACAAAATCCGTAAAAGTAGTTTTAATCAATGATGTAACTTATTTTTATGTGTATTTGTTAAAACTCATTCACATTAATCGGTTAAAATAATCGATTTCCTATTTTATTCGTGGCATAAACTTATTTTTATGATTTCTCGTCTTTCAGGTTGTAAATTGGGCTAATTAGCCCAATAATTATTTATATTTTGAAATAGAAAAATATAAAGGTTTTGTTTAAACCATATTTCAACTTATTAAAAACTGGGCTCAGAAATCCCCGTCTCCTTTGAAAACTATGCACAAGCAATAAATTTACAGTAAGCGATAAATAAACTAAAACAAATTAATAATAATAGTACCAAAAATTACAACGTAAAACATCAATAATAATAAAGTAAAAAAAACAACAATTGATTTTGACCTGACCACGGTCGAAGTCGGGACCTAGTGATTAGCAAATCCGTTTACATATGCCATACATTTAGAAAATAAATTCATAGTAAATAAACTGATAAATATGCGAAAATAAATGAATAATAATAATAATGTAAAAATTATAAAGTAAAAAGTTCAATAATAATAAAGTTAAAAAAAGCAATTGATTTTGAGCTGACCACGGTTTGAACCCGGGAGCTCGTGATACTTTTACGGGCATATACTTTGAAAATAAATAAACGAATAAATATAATAAACGAATTGACAAATGTACGAAAATAAAATTATAAAGTGAAACTTTAATAAAAATAGAGTAAAACTAAAACAACCTTACCATGAATTCGAACCCTCCACCCAGCGATTAGTAATAGCGTCTCCGACTAATAAACCGAAGAGGCGGTTAGCCAAATACTGAAATTAGTTATCTGATTATTTGCAGTTTTTTTTTAAATTATTATGTTTTCAAAATTGTTAATGAATGTATTTTCCATAATGAGCATAATATAATGCTTTGCTTTGGAACATGGTCTGACACATCTGGGTACTTCGCCTACGCGGATTCCAGATGTGGAGGATTATGCACCTTCCCTGTTGGACCTTCTGCTGATCTCTCATCCGGACGGATATTACGTCTCTGTCGACGTCCCTCTTGGCGAGGAAATAATGGTCTGAGGAGACCATTGTCTGATCTGGAGCGTGGTACCACTCACGCTCCCTTCGCGGTTGTGTTCTGCACGCTGCCGCCGTGTTTGGCATAACAGGATTGGTACGGAATGCGGTCTTTCATTAAATCCTACTTATGGGACGGGTTTGTTTCCCGCTAGATGATCCCAGCGCTGACTCTGTCACTGATGTGATGCTACAGGGAATGGAACTATTTTTTTATAGAATAAGGGTGACAAACGAGTACACAGTCCACCTGATGGTAAGTGGATGCTGTGGCCCATAGACATTTACATTTATCCTCAATTATGAATCAAGACGCAGAAGCGTTGTCACCCCTGAGGACAAAAATGGAATGCCTCGTTTCCAGTAAAAAAGGGTCTCCGGATCTCTACATTCACCATACGAAACACAGCACTATTACGCTGCTATTTTACACTGGTATTCTGTGAGAGCGTGGTCCTTTCTCGGTCGAGCCGACCCATTCTTGCTAGAACCATAATATAGCTGCAGCATAGCCCTACCACTACGACTACCCCTATTCCATCACTTCTGGTACCCAACGGAGGCAGATTCCAACCTTGGTTTGATTGCTCCTGTAAGACTGCATTACGCAGTAAGCAGGATTACTATCAGGCCTGGGCTTACGCTTCGGCAGCTCGGGATGTAAACATCGGAAATCTTAAAAAAGAAGTATAATTTCGCCTTTAGGTCGTTCAAAAGAGTTATTGCCAAGGCAATGTATGATCACATCAGCAGAATTGGCAAGAAATTAGTTTGCCTTCCTTTGGAAACCCGTGCATTCTGGTCTCTCGCCACGTCTGTCCAAGGGAATTTCTAAAAGTCATCACTACCATTTCTGTACAGGGAGGACTACTCACTGGCCCACGCCGCAAAAGGGAAAGCCGATTTTTTAGGCTCCCTTTTTGCGTCCAACTTGACCCTCCATGATGGGGTGAACACACAGCAGTCCATCCGGCGATGTGAGGGCTTTATACTTGATATGCGATTCACAAAGTGCTCAGTACGTAAAGCACTCCTCTCCCAGGGCATCCACAAGTCAAGAAGGCCTAACGGGATCTCCCCAATTGTACTCAGGACGTATGCTTTAGAGTTGGCGTAGTTCCGAATTCATGGAAGACAGATTTCATGCGCCCTATCTCTCAAAAAGGTAGGCGCTCTGATCCGTCCAACTACAGGCCTATCGACATCTCATGCGGTGCCTTGAAGAGCAGCAGCTGATAAGTGAATGCCCGTACAGTTTCTGTCAGGATCACTCAACTGGTGATCTTCTTGTTTATCTAATACACCGATGGGCGCAGGCAATCGAGTCCAAGGGGGAGGCTTTGCCGGTTAGTTTGGACATAGCGAAGGCCTTCGATCACATTTGCACTAACCGCTTCTCTCGTAGCTTCCTTCCTGTGGGCTTCCCGAAAATTGTGTAATTGGATCACCAGTTTTCTATTTGATCAGAGCATCAAGGTCGTAGAAAACGATGCTGAGCCTATTAGGCTGTTTCTTATGCATATCGATGATATGTTGCAAACCGGAAACGTTCATTGTTACGCGAACGTTAGCACTGGTGATGTTTTATACACCGGCCGTGATAATATTTCTCGGGAAAACGTTGCCGAGTACCGGAACAAACTTGTATCTGAAGTCGAGACACTGTTGAACAAAGTCTCGGATTGATGGTGAGTAAATCTAGTCCAATTTAAGTTAGTGAAAAAAGAGTGCACCTGTGTTTGCACATACACTTGGACACTATAATCCTGTATAAGTTTGAACTGATTAGTTGGAATGATCAGTTGAACTGACCGTGTGTGGCGACCATAAGAGTACGAGCCGTACGAGTGTGTGTCAA